TTATATACATTTTATATAAAACCCATATATATACAATTGTATTAATATACATGACAATATTTTATGTAATTTATTGATCGGAAAAAACTATACAATATACATTGAAGAGTTAAATGCACCGGACATCCATTAACTTGTGAGGAGATTTCAGTTAGGTCCATCAACTTTTAAAGTGGTTTTTTAGGTCCATCAACTTTGTATGTCGTATCACTTAGGTTCATATCCCTCCATATGGGCTTTTCATGCTAACGTGGCCTGTTGACTTGCCCATCTGAAGCAACTATTGACCCTTCATTTCGTAAAACACGTTGTGGGCGCTCGAGTAGGCGCCGCCGCCGCGATCACACGGTTGCGCGAGCAGACATGCCATGGCCACGCGGGCGCACGAGCAGACCCATCGTGGCCACACGGGCGTGTGAGCAGGCACCGCCGCCGCCGCTGATGGGGATCCGCGGCTGGCTCGAGGCATATACCTTTGCGTATGACCCGGTGACGGAGCGGCACAGAGTCATGCACGTGCTGTGCTACCTCGATTGGACTGGTGGCTTCAACATGTTGCAAGTGTTCACGCTGGGGGACGCGGTGGGGTGGCAGGATGTCCCGATCCCCGATGGGAGCTGCCGCGTGGACGCCGAGCTCATCAGCATCGGCGGTGCCACACACTGGGTCACTAGGAACATGGAGTGCGTCGAGGAAGAGCGTAGCGGCGGCGGCGCCTGCTCGCGCGTCCGCGTGGCCACACCGGCGGCCGCCTGCTCACGCGCCCGCGGGGCTGGCCGCAACGCCTGCTCGTGCTCCTCCTACTGCTGTGGCGGCACCTGCTCGCACGCCCACAACATGTTTAACGAAATGAAGGGTCAATAGTTGCTTGGGATGAACAAGTCAGTGGGCCACGTCAGCACGATAAGTCCACGTGAAGGGATATGGACCTAAGTGATACGACATACAAAGTTTTGAAAGGTCCTAATATGGCTAGAGGGGAGTGAATAGCCTATTTAAAAATCTACAAATCAACTAGAACAATTTGATTAGTATAACAAATAGCGTAATGCAAACTTGCTCTAGCTCTACAAGGGTTGCAAGTCACCTATCCAACAATTCTAGTTGCAATGATTATTTAGGCACACAAACTTGCTATGTAATTACCCACTAAGAGCTCTCAATCTTGTTACTCTAAAGAGCTCAACTAGATGAATGTAAATAATAAAGCAAGCTCTCAATTCTAATTACACTAAAGAGCTTGTATCAACTAGTTTGCAAGAATATAAATAAGTGAGTAGGGTGATTATACCGACGTGTAGGGGATGAACCAATCACAAGATGAATATATAGCCAATCACCGAGAGAATGCCAAAGACAAGAGACAATCTATTTTCTCCCGAGGTTCACGTGCTTGCCAACACGCTACGTCCCCGTTGTGTCGACCAACACTTGGTGGTTCGGCGGCTAAGAGGTGTTTCACAAACCTCGTCCACACGATAGGACACCGCAAGAACCAACCCACAAGTGAGGTAACTCAATGACACGAGCAATTTACTAGAGTTACCTTTCGGCACTCCGCCGGGGAAGGTACAACTCCCCTCACAATCACCGAAGGCGGCCACGAACAATCACCAACTCGTGCCGATCCTTCACCGCTGCTCCAACCGTCTAGGTGGTGGCAACCACCAAGAGAAACAAGCGAAATCCGCAGCGCAACACGAATACCAAGTGCCTATAGATGCAATCACTCAAGCAATGCACTTGGATTCTCTCCCAATCTCACAATGATGATGGATCAATGATGGAGATGAGTGGGAGGGCTTTGGCTAAGCTCACAAGGTTGCTATGTCAATGAAAATGTGCAAGAGTTTTTCCTTGAGCCGGCCATGGGGCTATAAATAGAGCCCCAATCAAATAGAGCCGTTATACCCCTTCACTGGGCAAAACGCGCTCTGACCGGACGCTCCGGTCATACTGACCGGACGCTGGCCCTCAGCGTCTAGTCGCCCAATGGACGCCACGCGTCACCAGCTTCAAACGCTGTTCGTCAGATTTCAACGGCTACGAAGCTGACCGGACGCTCCGGCAAAACTGACCGGACGCTGAAGCCCCAGCGTCCGGTCGTTTCCAGTAAGCTCCCCGAGGCGTATTTCTTCGACCAGACGCGTCCGGTCCACCTTGATCGGACACAGACCAGCGTCCGGTGCTCAACCCTAGGCACTGTGCCGTCTGACAGCACGACCAGACGCAACCTTTCAGCGTCCGGTCGCTGAGTGACCCAGCGTCCGGTCAGTAGACCGACGCCAGCATCATTTCGACCAACTCCATTTCAACTCTAACTTCTTCACCCTCGCTCAAATGTGCCAACCACCAAGAATTTTCATCCGGCGCAATAGAAAATAGGCATTCTATTTTCCCGAAAGCGCCGAATCCCGCCGAGCTTGCGAGGCGGGAGGGAGAGAGGGACCCAAACCCATCTCAACACTGCAAACACCACCTCCTTTGTAAATGTGCCAACACCACCAAGTGTATCACCCTGTGCACAAGTGTTAGCATATTTTCACAAACATTTTTAAAGGTGTTAGCACTCTACTAGATCCTAAATGCATATGCAATGAGTTAGAGCATCTAGTGGCACTTTGATAACCGCACTCCGATACGAGTTTCACCCCTCTTAATAGTACGGCTATCAATCCTAAATATGATCACACTCTCTAAGTGCCTTGATCACCAAAACAAAATAGCTCCTATGGTTTATACCTTTGCTTTGAGCTTTTTGTTTTTCTCTTTCTTCTTTCCAAGTCCAAGCACTTGATCATCATCATGGTATCATCATCATCATGCTATGATCTTCATTTGTTTCATCACTTGGAGTGTGCTACCTATCTCATGATCACTTGATAAACTAGGTTAGCACTTAGTGTTTCATCAATTCACCAAAACCAAACTAGAGCTTTCAAGTTTACGGACCCAAAAAACCAGTTTAAAAGTTGATGGACCTAACTGAAACCTGCTCACAAGTTAATGGATCTCCTGTGCGTTTAACTCTACATTGAATTAGAACATTAATGACATATCTATATTCATAGTACAATTATAAGCACACTACTTTAATATAAAAAATTATTAAATATAAAATTGTTTTATAAGAAAAATGCAACAATCTTAAGCCATGGAGTAGGTTAGTGCAAACTTAAGGTGGGTATTATCTCCGTTGGTTTTTAAGATTTCATTGCATTTAACAATAACTATTAGTCTTAGATATTAATATCATAATAAATAGTGGTCTCTAGCCTAAATTCTTATTTTAATAAAATATAGGAGAGTTGTGAATAAAAGTTATAATAAATATAATAAGATTTTCAACTTAACCTGAGGATAAAAGTTTGTTACAACTAATAAGATCAAAATTTGAAAGCTAAATTTTAGAGTTACGATTTTATGAGACACTGGTTGTAACAAGGAGCACCATAAGACACATGGAGGTATCTGTAGAGAAGGAAAAACTATAGATATAGATGGAAATAATATACAGAGTAATTGCTAATTTAATTACAACCTGATATATAGATTATAGAGTATCGATATGTATATTGTGTTAGAAAATGAACAGAGAGAGCTAGTACACGCAAAGATATATATAAGTAATAACTTTTATTAGTTATATGTATTAAATACGAACTTGTGATGATTATGTCTTCTAGAATTTGTGGAGGAGCACAGGTAGATAGACAAGTCGTCTATGATAAAAAAAAAGAAAAATACGTCCCGACAAAAGAAGAGATATTTACTGGGTGGTTATTGTTTCCTGATAAGAATTTGGCCGGGGTTCTGGGAAAGGCTGACGAGTGACTTTTTTTTTCTGTATAAACTGTAATCTGATTGGTCATGTACTCATGTGCTGGTTTACTTGTGAACAACCCCAACTCATGAGGATAAGGAAACCAAGCGCGTGTTTACTTCCACGAACTTGGAATTTGAGGTTACTGTAGCACGTTCATTTTTATTTGACAATTAGTGTTTAAACATGGACTAATTAGACTCAAAACGTTCGTCTCGTAATTTCCCACGAAACTGTGCAATTAATTTTTTTTTGTCTACATTTAATGCTCTATGCATAGACCGCAAACATTCGATGTAACAGGTACTGTAGCAACTTTTTAGAATTTGGGGTCCAACTAAACACGCGCCAACACGACATTGGCTTCTTTCAAAATGACACGACATTGGCCAGCAAAGAACAAAATACAGCCATGTGTGTGGAAACGGCATTATTGCGATTTTCTCCACCTTTTGACTTTTGTTGAACAAAAGAGCTACTGTATCTGTATAAGACAGACGAAGCGTGTGTTTAATTCCAATCCCAAATTCCTAAAACGTGCTACAGTACCTATCACATCGAATCTTGCGATATGTGCATGGAGCATTAAATGTAGACGAAAAAAACTAATTACACAGTTTGGTTGAAAATTACGAGACGAACGTTTTGAGTCTAATTAGTCTATAATTGAACACTAATTGCCAAATTAAAACGAAAAGTGCTACAGTAGCCCAAATTCCCAAATTCACCCGACTAAACGCGCGCGAAAGTGCAAATGATCCATCCATCGTGGCCTGTGTCAGCGTACGCAAACAACGCTGATGTTGGTGTGACGTCAGTTTCTTTCTGACAGATGACTAACAGAGGACAGCCCTTCGAAAGTCGTTGGACTTTCAGTTCTCGTTTTTTTTACGGTACCAGCTAATGATGATCTAATTATTACATTGCGAACACGGATTGAATCGTGCCGAAGCTATATGTGCACACATCAGCACGTGCACGCTTCACGTAGAAGCCACCAGCTGAGAAATTGAGATGCAGAATAAAACCAGTTGAAACCGTAAATAAAGGCTCCGCAAAATCAACTTTATTTGCACAAATCGTTTATATAGCTCCCTCAAGTTGCTGAAAAAAGGCCTACCTATATGACAGAATCGATCTCAAATTCTCAATTATTTATGTCAGCTGCTTTAATTAATTACATGATGGGGCAACTGCTTGGCTCCTCGCAGACGACCATTGGCGGCGGCGGCGGCGGCGGGTGGCGGTAGTAGTGGCAGCCTCCGGGATAGCATTGCGGCGGCGGGTGCACGACCACGGGCTGCGGCAGCTTGGGCTCCTCCGGCTTCTTCTTCTCCTCCTCGGGCTTCTTGTCCTTCACTTCCTCCACCTGCAGGATCTCGGCGTGGCCGACCTTCCTGCGCAGGTAGCTGACCAGCCTGACCGGGTCGACGCCGTCGCCGACCACCTCCAGCTTCTCCCTGGCATCGCCGGTGATCGCCATCGATATCATCCCTGCACAGACGCAGAGCACTGTTATTAGCTAACACTGATGGCCACCTTTTGTACGTACTGGCCAAAGACAACTGACGGCGTACCATCTGCTCTGGCGGCCAGCGTCATGGCTTTGGACCGGCTCCTCTCGCACGGCATGCTCACCTTGATCACTATCTTTTGCTGCGCGCGGCAACCACACGATGCAGAAACAAGAGGAGCAACGCAAATCAGTTTCAGAGCTCTCAAAATAAAGCTGAAGCAGAGGTTTCTGAATTCATCGAAGGAACTGTCCGGCCCCTGCTTACCTTCATTGCCCGCCGGCAGTGATCTCTCCGAAACCGACGAGAAAATCAGCAAAAACTGTCGCGACAGATCGTTGAATCAATCGAGGCGAATTGGGTGGCTGGTTATTGCTAACTGATGGAGCTTTCTTGTGACTTGTGAGTTGTGACTGGCCGGCGCCGGGCTCTTATATAGAGTGGGAGGTAGGGAAACGGGGAGCGAACGCTGGTGTCAGTAGCGGGGAACGAATCATCATCAACTGACTGAGACGCGTTCTTGGCGATGGTTAGCGTGTGAGATCCGAGGCCCGCAAATTTTTATCGTCCACTGGCCTGTCGCAGTGCGCTTCTCCAAAGGCACGCGCTGGTCCATAGAATAATTTATTCTATGACCATCTTGATTTACGATAATATTTGTACCAATTTACGATAATGATAATGCACATTTACGATATATGGGTTACTATAATTCAAGATGATACTTATCATACTGCTACATTAAATCACTTATAAGGGAGTTACCATAATCTCGTAAATTAGTATAGTAATTATCGTAACTCAAAGTGGCCACAGAATAATTTATTCTGCGGCCAGCTACACAACAGTACGTGTGTATATATATATATATATATATATATATATATGACAATTTTTAGAGAAAGGGGATTGTTTTTCGGTGTTGCTCTCCATGTACAATGAAAAAACATTTAGACAGACTAGCACATCAACCCATGCTTGAGGACATCCTAAAATCTTATGTTATCACAAGTATTGAAAGTTTAATGGATAAAGTCTTATGATGATTAATGTGGAGGCTCTGTTGACATCCAATTAGTAATATTAAGATACATTGCCATCCTTTTCATTTCACCTATGGTTGTTCAGATTATGTTAAAAAAGTTTTGGGCACAAGTTGGTTTTGTAATATCTCCGATCTTAAAACATAATATTGTTTATATTGTCTTTTGGACCGAATTTTTTTTATTTTTTAGCCTCTTTTTTTTGAAAGTTTCTCACAAATAGACCCATGAAGGAAAGATTTCAGAATATGAACCCTTAGATCGGCGCCATCGATGCTGGCGCCGAGCTACGTCCTTGGCGCCGAGCTCCTGGGCTCGAAGCGAACGTGGAAGGTGACATGGCAGGAAGCTCGGCGTCAGTCACCCTGGCGCCGAGCTCGGTGCCGTAGATCTTGGCGCCGAGCTCGGCGCCAGGGTGACTAGCGCCGAGCCTTTATTACCTATGGGCCCCGCCCCTCTCTTCCTCTCCCTCTCTCGCCCTAGCAGAGCAGAGCCGAGCTTCGCCGCCGCCGCCCGTGCACTCTCCTCCACCGGCCGCCCTCGCTCGCGCCGCGCCGCGCCCGCGCACGAAAAATTATATCATATATGTCTTAGCAAAAGAAACAAAATACGATTTCATGTTTACCACAAAAATAACCAACCTCATCATACTCAACCATATGGCCACAATAATGGCCTATTCCAAGCTCCAAACGGACTAGACCATAGTTGGATTTAACACCACATTCGCACATGACATGAGGTGCTTTGTAAATTACCTTTTCTTTCTTCTTTTTCTTAACCTTTCGCGGTTTTTCCGGCCATTGGTTCTTAGGACCATACAACCACTCCTTGAAACGACACTTAGCCATTGAAAACACCTAAATAAGTAGACATTAGTACATGAACATATATAGCTCAACATTTCAACACATACACTTTGCACTTACTTCATGCTTGTTTGGACACACAAACTCCAACGTATTCTCAGGGTTTATCACAGCTCGATCTCCACAATCGCACAGAGGAGGTTCCTCAAGTCATCTAATTGCGGCTAGGTGTTTCTCCTTAGCCGTCATTGGCGAAGGGTTAGGGGGTGGAACCCACCGCTTGAAGTGCTCACGTGGATGTCTCTCTCTAAAACAATCGTCGAAAAGGAGGTACCTAGGATCAAACTTGTCTGCACCGTCGATCCACTGAAAGAAAAAGCACCTCTCATGGTCCTACACAACGAGATTTCAACAAAATATTAGTAGCATACTTACACAAATAAAGAAAAAAGATAGTGGAAATAATTTTTTATATTAAAACGACTGCATGTGTAGAAGCAACGCGCCGCTGTGTCCGGATGTTTCGATTGAAAAACATGGGCCGGGAAACTACAGTCACAGTTAGGGACAGGGAGGTCAGGAGGGACGGGGGCATCTTTGCTAGACGCGTCGGGGTATAATTCTCGAGGACGACCCCGTTTTCGCCAAAACTCCTCCCGAAACATTTCTTGCATCTAACAAAACGGATGTAATTTAACAAACAAAACTCAAAACATCACAAATAAATATCAATGCGAACCATAACTACAATACAACCAATTTCGTTCTAAGAACCGAAAGCAATTAACATTAAACCCTAAACCTAGGGTTTCCCATTTGATGCACAACAATAAACCCATAACATAACTAAATGCGCCTAGGTTTGCTAGCTTTTTCACGTCTTGGCATCATCCTACGGTTGTATAATACATATATTGAGGGATAGAATGAAAACCTAACTAATAACGATTCTTAAGTTCAAAAATCCGACTAATATATACTGAATCGATGCGAAAAAATTAGGAGGGGAGCGAGGATACCTTGCTCTCGAAGATATACGGATCAAATCAAAGTTTTCAAGGTCCAATATGCCGATTCGTGAGGTAGGGTGAAGTGAGGAGAGAAATAACCCGAGAGGGGGGAGAAAGAAGAGGAAGAACACTCGGCAGGAAGGTTGGGCCGGGGTTAAAATAAAAGGCTTGGCGCCAATCACCCTGGCACCGAGCTCGGCGTCAAGATCTACAGCGCCAAGCTCGGCGCCAGGGTGACTGGTGTCGAGCTTCGTGTCATGTCACCTTCCACGTTCGCTTCAAGCCCAGGAGCTCGGCGCCAGGGACGCTGGCGCCGAGACGTGTTAGCTCGGCGCCAGCATCGATGGCGCCGAGCTAAGGGTCCATATTATGAAATCTTTCCTCCAGATATCTATTTGTGAGAAACTTTCAAATAAAGGACTAAAAAGTAAAAATTTCGGTCTTTTGGAGGTGATAATGCATGCTTTCTTTTAGCGCGAACATTTGTGACTTTTAATCTCATCTAAATTGGATCCATGCTTTATGCTTCTTTGTAGTGTTGAGTTACAAACTCAACGTTATATTATACTAAATGAAATCAGATTGTGTCACCGATTCAATTGTGGTTGACATGTTGTATATGTTGTTGTACCATCATGAACCATATGCAAACATTACTATTTTACCTATGATATAGGAACTAACTCCTTAACAATTTCATTGCTATTCCTTCATTATATTGTGAAAGAATTTTTTTTAATACCACATATGCGCGCCGTATGTGCATGTATGTATATTACAACTAAAGTTTCAAATATTCCGTATGAGATTATTCTTGCAACAAAATTTTATCTGAGATCCTGTAAGTATTCTCACAGTCATAGAGTAGTACCTTATTATTCAGCAGAAGTCGTATCCATCACATAGCAAATGGCAACTTGGAACTTGAGAGTTGAGAGGAAATGGAGAACTGAATTAACTCAAAGAGAAGAATGGTGACACCTTTTCGTATATACTTTCATGTGGGTAGACCGTAGACGCAGTCCCTAAGAAACCAAATTGACGATAGTAGCTAGATAAGATCTTCATGATGAAGACTTTATCATTAGTGGGCTAACCCCTTTTCGTTAACCCTTAGTTGCCTAGAAAATATACATAGTTAGTTTCAGAAGATGCACACAATTGAACATAGTTGACGCGGTGTAAAACAGTTCGTTCCAAAGCAATCGCAGACACTTACATTAAGTTCCATTTGTAATATTAATTCAATTATTTGAGTAGAGACTAGTCTTGATTGGCTCATTCTATTTGGCCAGTGGTACAACCACGAAGTGAAGTATTTCGTATATGGGAAGAAGTTGTCCTAGAGATAAGGATCAGCATGTACATCTGATTCAGGCTTTAGACATTCAGTAATAAGAACTGGCAGGAGCTATACTGGTTAGTTAGAATCATTTTAACATCTTTTTATTATAAAACACTCAGAGATATTCTATGAAAATCTTATTCACTCAGAAAATCTTGGAAGTAGCTTTCAAAGAGAAAAAATATCCAAGCGTAAAAAGTATCCTGTAGCAATCAGCTATTGCTATACAAAAGATACAGCCCCTGATAAAACAGAGAAATTTGGTGGCTTGTTATTTCCGATCAGAATGTGGAGATCTTGAGAAATAAATTAAAGAGTAGGTCTGTATCGTCTGTAGAAAGTGGAATCTGATTGGTCGCTTGTTGGTTAGTTGTGGACGCACCAACTCCGAGGACAAAGAAACCAACACGACTGCAAGAACATTGGCCAGCAGAGAAAGAAATTCTCAGTGTCATCCTGTGGAGCCGCATGACATCTACTACTTTCTTTTGAAGAAACCAATGTTATTAGAGGGAGAAAGTGCAAATCATTGATTCATCGTGGCATATGTCGGCGTACGTCAAACACTAATGTTGGCGTGACGTTAATTTCTTTTTGATAGGTGACATTAATTTTGCTTCCAGTTCTCTTAAGGACACAAGTGGTATACAATAGTGTAGGCTAAGTTCGTTAAATTGTCCAGTTACACGTGAAAAGCACTCAAAGCAGTTGGAAAAATTTGAAACCGTAAAGACGGAAACGAACGGAACCACTGTTTATTTACTTACAGAAACTAGAATTCCCGATAAGACAGCATCCATCTTAATCATTCATGTCAGACTGTTTTTACATGATGGCGCAATTGCTTGGTCCCTCGCACTCGCAGATGACCATTGGCGGCGGCGGATGGTGGTGGTAGAAGGGACACTCACACGTGTAGCCCTCTGGCTGCGGCTGTACTGGCTCCGGCTGCGGCGGAGGGTCCTTCACTTCCTCCACCTGCAGGATGTCGGCGTGGCCGAGCTTCCTGCGCAGGCAGCTGGCCAGGCAGACCGTATCGACGGCGTCGCCGACCACCTCCAGCTTGTCCTTGTCGTCGCCGGTGATCTCCACGGAGATTACCCCTGCACATATATACGTACGCGCGCAGCCGGTTAGCCAAACGATCACCGCTGCGATTCACGTGAGCATGCAGAAAGACGACGACACCGTAGGGTAGTAGAATGCGCGCTTATGTACCGTCTGCTTGGGCGGCCAGCGACAGGGCTTTGGATCGGCTCCTCTCGCACGGCATGCTCACCTTGATCACCATCTTTTGCTGCAGCAAGGACAACGGCGCGGACAAGAAATAAATGTGATCAGCTAGTCTGCGTTGCACAGGTTGGACGGCAATGAAATTAACAGAGCTGCACGGTTAGTGCTGCTTACCTTCATTGCCTGCAGGCTGCAGGTGGTTCAATTTCCCTGTAACTACTAACCAGTGGTGACAAGTTTAGTGGAAGTAATGTGCTTGGTTGACTAGAGGAGGAGGTGGTTAAGCTCGCTGCAGGCAGCAGCTATGCCGCTTTATATACGACCAATTCCAAATTATAAGACGTTTTAACTTTTGTAGATACATTTTATCTAGACATAATATATATCTAGGTACATAGTAAAAACAATGTTTCTAAAAAGACAAAATATCTTATAATTTGAAATGGAGAGAGTAGCAACGAACACGGATAAAAGTGATTATTTGAGAGATGTGATTACGTGGATAAAAGTGTTTCTCTAGGATAAGATAAATTCTACGTAGGATGTAGTATAGTATAATTTTGTGCCAGAAGTAACTCAAAAGAAACTAGTTTTTTCAGCTTCTATAATTATTAAGTCTCTAGTTCATTTTATAAAATCACTTTGCAAAATCAGCCTATAATCACTTCTATGTAAAATTCAGTTGGACGAGGAGCCCTTAAGCTGAAAGTTCTGGCAAATAGGCTCTTCGCCTCTTCCACTAGCTACTGGTAGTAGTATATCTAGAGGGAGTACGACTGTACGAGGATAAGGACAATCAAGAAGGTAGGTTCCGGGTCAGAGCAGAGCAATGTAAGATCATGGCCATGTTTTTATTTTTATTTGGTAATAATTATCCGATCGTTGACTAATTAGGCTCAAAACGTTCGTCTCGCAAAGTACAACCAAACTGTGCAATTAGTTTTTGATTTCGTCAACATTTAGTACTCCATGCATATACCGTAAGTTTGATGTGACGGGAAATCTTCTTTTTACATAGTGCCAAATTCAGAAATTGGGGGCAACTAAACAAGGCCCATATGTAATTGACGGAGCAAAGAATCCAACTGGCCACGCTGTTAGATGGTGGGCCCGTGGGCGATGACTTGACTCGACGGGATCCCGATCGGGCCACTCCACACGCTGCATACGCGCTTCTGAGAAATCCTCGGTTCCGTCGGTCAAACACAAGCGCAAGAGTGCGTCCATGTTCCAATACCGGTAGCCCAGTACCAGTTCAGTGGTAGCAAGACCGTAAGAGTACGGTACCACTGATTGTGACTTGTGTCAGAGTCAGAGCACACAAGTACAGAAGTACGTAGAGGCTGTGTTTAGTTGGGTAAAATTTGGCTACTGTAGCACTTTTGTTTTTATTTGGCAATTATTGTTCAATCATGGACTAATTAGGCTCAAAACGTTCGTCTCGCGATTTCCAACCAAACTGTGCAGTTGGTTTTTTTTCCATCTACATTTAATGCTCCATGCACGTATCGCAAGATTCGATGTGATGGATACTATAACACTTTTTGGGAATTTGGTATGTGAACTAAACACGTACAGAGCATACAAATACAGGAAGGCGGCACTGTTTAATTTCAGTACCCATTACATATATACCCCTTGATGTATGTATATGGTTCATAGCACATGAATATCTTACAAAAAATTGTGGAAATGCTCTGAGGACGTCCCGTCAGATGCCTCCCGTCCCGGACGCTTCTTCCCAGGCCTGCGGACCGGCCCTCTACCGTCTACCTTCATTCGTTCAGTAATAAAAAATATAGAGCGACATTTCCCCATCTCACGTCGGCAGTCGCAGCCTTCCCCAACGCCGCAGGTGCCTCCATCGCGCCGCCCGCCCGTTTCCCTGCTCTGCTTTGCTTCTTTGTCGACGGTCACCCCATGCTGCCACTACACCATGATCCACTTTTCCCTACAATCATGTGTTGGTAAATCAAGGGTTTTCCCAACAAGTAATGTGTTGGCAATTCTTTACCTTTTTAGCGTCACTTAAAGTGTCGGCAATAGTAATATAAGGCTACAACTTATATGTCGGCGTTTCTCCTTCCAACACATAAAGTGTCGGCGAAAGTTTTTAGACCAAAAAAGTGTCGTCCTAGCCTACCTAAACCACTGTCGAAGTGTCGACGAAGGGGTACGCGCTGTGGGCAGGAGACCGCGTGCCAAAACAGTACTGTGCGCGTGAGCTAAAAGGCTAAACATTTTTTTTGATCGAGAAAACGCTAAGTTGAGGCCACTTTCTGCCAACCCTTCGTACGTCTCTTGCTCCCTTCCCCTTTCCACTCACGCATGCACCGCGCGCCACCACAGCTCCGCCGCCAGGCGCCACCAGCAGGGCTCCGTTGCCGGGCGCCGTTGCCGGGCGCCGCCAGGAGCCGCTGCCAGAGGCTAGTACCCGGCACCCCTGACGCCCAAATCGCCGCCTCCCAATCCCGTTGGCGCCGAAGTCATCCCTGGCCGGAGCCCATGACCTACAAAGAAGAGGGCCCCGCCATAAATCATCAGACGGACGGCGCGCGCCAACCCCGTCGCCCCAGCCCGCCGTCACCCTAGCCCACCGCCGACCAACAAGAGCGGTGCTGCCGCTGCATCCCCATTCCCCTCTGCATCCAAGTGCGTCATCTCTGCATCCCCTTCCTCTCATCCCCATTCCCCTACGTGCTAGGGTTTCGGCACAGCTTACTTTTTTTGTATTTTTTTCAGAATGGAGTAGACAAAGGTGAGAAAGGCTACAAAGATTCAAGGTTTGGGTTGCTTCTCTTGCCCGCCATCTCTTCCCCTCTTTGGAGAATCAATTAGATGTGATGTTTACTGCCTTAGTTGATTTTGTAGAGGAACCAGTAGGATTCAAGATCTTGTACACAACACAATCAAGATCTTCTACTGTCATTGCTTGATTGGTATGCTTTCCTTTTCTTATGAACTTTGTCTCTGCATTTGGCTTAGAATTGCAGGTTGTGTGTGATCTGTGATGTGATGATTTGGTTTCTTAAAACTGGACTAAATTTCCCCTATAGTTCTTATTGATGGCTTGTGGTGAGATAATTTTTTAACATCAAGTGTGGTGAAATTAATTTAATTTGGACAATTGTTTGGCATGATCTTTAGTTTTTTGTTGAACAACCCAATCTGAACTGAATGATTTTTTATTTTGGGAGTAATATTTCACTATTTTGACACTGCATTTTGTAAAAGGTGCGTCATGGATAAAACATGGATGGATCAGCCTAGGTACATAATAAACCTATGACCATATACTAGAATCTGCATGCATAGGGTGTTTGGTATGATATCTTGATCATCAGTTGTAGGCAAACCCTTGTGTATAGAGAAGGAGTGGATATGTTTTTAGAGTTTGCCTTTAGTAATTCAGCAAAAGAAAATCAGATTTTGTGTCCCTGCAAGGCATGCAAGAACTCTTGTTGGAGGGTCCATAGTATTGTACTTGAGCACTTGATATGTGAGGGATTTACAGATGGGTATATAACATGGGTGAATCATGGTGAACCTAGTTCTAGTTTTTTCACAAATAGCAGCCAACATGAAAGGGTAGAATTAGGGGACCCAAATGAAGAGGATGACATTTCTGGTTTACTTCAAGACATAGCTGGGGGTTTAGATGTCCAGGGGGACTTAGAAGTAGACAACACGAAGCAGCACGATGAGGATATGGAAGCTTTTTACAAAATGGTAGAAGATGCTGGCAAGGAGCTATATCCAGGTTGCAAGTACTCGAAGCTACGTTTCATTGTAAGATTACTGCATATCAAATTCGTTGGGCGATGGAGTAACAAAAGCTTCGACATGCTATTAGAGTTACTTAAGGATGTCTTACCTGAAGAGTCATCACTTCCAAAAAACTTTAATGCTGCTAAAAAAATGGCAAAAGGTGTAGGACTTGGTTATGTGAAAATTCATGCATGTGAGAATGATTGCATACTATTTTGGAAGGAGCATGCGAAGAAAGATGTATGTCCAAAATGTGATACTTCAAGATGGAAATCAGAAAACAGTAGTCCTAGTGGAAAACATGTGCATAGGGTTCCTAGGAAAGTCCTGCATTACTTCCCTATAAAGAAAAGACTGCAATGGTATTTTATGTGCTCAAAAACAGCAAGTGACACAAGGTGGCATGATGAAGGACGCACACAAGATGGTTTGTTGAGGCATCCTGCTGATGCTCATTTCTGGAAAGATTTTGACTCTAAGCATCCAGTATTTTCATCAGATAGTCAAAATCTTAGACTAGCTGTAGCTAGCGATGGCTTTAATCCTTTTAGGACCATGAAATCAACTTATAGCATTTGGCATGTTATTTTGATCCCATACAACCTTCCACCTTGGAAGTGTATGAAGCAATCAAATTTCATCCTATCCTTGTTGATCCCTGGACCTAAGGCACCTTGTGGTGATATGGATGTCTTTCTTGAGCCGCTGGTGGATGATATGGTAGAAATGTTTGTTCATGGTGTAAGAACATATGATGCTTCTAAGCATGAACCCTTCCAACTGCGTGCTGCCATAGTTTGCACCATATCTGATTTTCCAGGTCTAGGTTATTTGGTGGCATGTGTCACTTCTGGCAAAGTTGCATGTCCTGAATTCCACTTAGATACATGTTCTTTCCAACTAAAAAAGGGAGGCAAGTGTGTCTACATGGGCCATCGTAGATTCTTAGATGTCGAACACAAGTTTCGATTTGATGCAGATTCATTTGATGGTACCACAGAACTTAGGCCAGTACCTAGACCTCTTAGTGGAGAGGAAATATTGGAGCTGACAGCCAATATATGCACAACCTTCGGAAAGGACCCAGTAACCAAGAAGCCAGCCAAGCATCAGTGCAATCCAACTACAGATCATATGCAGGGGGATGATATGGCTGATATGCACTTATATGATGATGATGACTTTGTGAGTAGACGAGTGGTCCTTAGAGAGGAGCAACATAATGAGGTAATTTCCTTTGTGTTCTTGCTAGACCTTTAAGCTGAATCAGACCATATTGCATTGGTATTAGTATTTTTACCCTGCTAAAATATATTTTATGCTTCAGGGTGGCAGAGATGTGATACTATATAATGTAGTAAGGCCTTATGAAGTTGTTGTGGCAAAGGCTACCGTTCAAACAAAGAACCCAA